CCGACCCAAAAATATATATAATTCGGGTCGGGTCGGATTAAGTCACTGTTTTTATTAAATAAAAATTATTTTTTATTATTTCGGGTCGGGTCGGGTCGGATTTCTAATTCATATATTCGGGTCGGGTCGGATGAAACTTTATTTTGTTCGGGTCGAGTCGGGTTTTTAAGTGTGATATTCGGTTCAGGTCGGGTCGGGTTCGGGTTTAGGGTGGAAAAAACTAGACCGACCAGAAAAAAAATATAATTTTACCTTATATATTTAGGAATAATTACAATAATACCCCTCTATATATAATTTTTTTCAATTAAGTCAATGTTTTTATTGAATAAAAATATTTTTTTATTATTTTGAGTCGTGTCGGGTCGAGTTTCTAATTCATATATTGAATAAAAATAGTTTTTGGTATATTTTTTGGTAACTAATTAACATACTCCGATTGGAATGTGTCGAAATATTGCTTTATCTTTTGGTAACTTAATATATATTTTGATTGCGATGATTTTAACTAATGTTTATTAGCATGATTTTTATAATTTATTGAAATGAATCAATCATAAATGAAAATTTATATTTTTAATTTTTTATAATATATTACTACATGTAAGTTGTAAAATAAACTAAATAAAGCACAAAAATAAGAAGGGCAATTCTATCATTTTCACATTACCGAAATCAAATTCATCTAACTGTCTGCAAAAATATGATGGAATTGGATTCCAATTCCATTTCCTGCCAACCTAACAGAATATGGAATTGGATTCTAATTCCTACAGATTCCAATTCCTTCCCAGATTCCAATTCTCTCATAAACATTCCAGCGAACCAAACGCCACCCAAGTTAATGCTTATGGTTTATGGTTTAGATGTTATAGGATTATGGTTTGGGGTTTACAATTTAGGGTCTTAAGTTAGGGGTAGGGTATAGAATGATGTAATTGAGCAACTTTGAGGGTTAAATTGATGTGAAAATAAAATAGGGGCAAAAGTGATAAAATGAGTTTACTACACGAGCAAAAGTTACCCTTTTGCCAAAACTTTAAAAGTACAATAAATGAAATAATAAAAAAAATAAAGTTCAATTACTAAAATTGTAATTTACTTAAAAAGTTCAATCAAAAATAGATGATAGAGTACACCACTCACTGATAAAACATCACAACAACAAGTTCCCAACCACCACCATGTTAGGTAACCTTCTATCTAGGGTTGTAATCGAGCCTAGTAAAGCCCAATTATTGTTGAGCTCGACTCAATTTGAAAATTTACGAGTATAATCAAAACATAAATGTTAATATTATTAATAATTTATTTTTAAAAAAATAAAATCTTGATATATTATATTTTCGAGTTGCTTACGATCTTTTCGAGTTGAGTATCAAGTAGTTCATTTTGACTCGTTAAGAACTCGAGTCGACCTCAAGCTCGAGTCGAGTATTTATCGATCTTTGACCGAATCAATTTCGATTAACTTGCGATCTATCCCATCTCATTTAAAGTCTTACTTCCATCTCTACTCTAATAGATGCATCATCGAATGTGATTCTCTTGTTTTGCGTTGGTAACTTGAACGAGGTTACGTGCGAAATTCTTCCCTGTTCATGGAGAACATTATAGTAGAATTCTTCCATGTTCAAGTTAACCATTTATCTGAAAATCATGCGTATGAAAAATCTAAACCAGTCAAAGTAATGTGAATTTGAAATAAGGACTAAATCAAATATTAATAAAATTGTAGGATGAAGGACTTAATCAAATTAACATCCAACTGTAGAGGACTAAAACCAGAGTTTACCCATTATGTTTCTAAACGTAGGTTGTAAACCAGAATCAGGTGGAACACTTTCCTTCAAAAATGCAAATAATTAAATTAATTAAATAAATGAATAATCGCCCTTTTTATTATGTAAAGCCTAAATTCCCCTTTTTAATTTGGTCAAATGCTGTCATTAGTCCTTATATTGTATATGAATTATTGATTTAGTCCCATACTCTAATTTGATCACTTTTAATCTAAATACCTTTTGAATTTTAATATGTTAATCATAAATCAAACATGAAAGGGAGAAAATGATAAATTAAAGAAATTTAATAAATTTCATAGTTACTATTTAGATCAAGATTAAAAATAATAAAATTAAAGTAGAAAGATTAAACATACAATTTATATATAATTTGAGGTCTAATAAAATGAAATTCAAATTCTTTTATTACGTAAATAAATATTATATTTTGAAGTTAAATACCGGAATTTGAATTCACACGAGATGTCATAATATATATTTTAAGGTAAATTATGTATTTAGTATCTAAATTATCAGTTTTAGTCTATTTTATTATCTAAAACTTTCAATTTTTTAAAAAATCATGCCCATCTTTTAGTTTTTATTTCATTTTAGCACTTGTCATTAAAAATTTAGCACATTTGGTACCTAAACTATCAGTTTTGATCCCTTTTTATACCTAGACTTTCAATTTTTTTAAAACTTAACATTAAATTTTGAATGTGGTATTAAAATGAAATAAAAACTAAAGTTTTTAACGGCGATGTGCTAAAATGAGACAAAAACTAAATTTCAGGTTTAAGTTTAAACAAATTAAAAGTTTATGCACTAAAATGTATCAAAACTAATAGTTTAGATACTAAACGTGTAATTTACCAAATATTTTAAGAGAATATATGTGCTTTGATGTGAATAGTTTTTAGCATTTCTAGGATCCATCTTTCCCGAGCACGTTTTCTTATTAGGAAACCAATTTCAAGGCTCTTGCTCACTTTCAAGTTTCAACATCTTAGTTCCCACCAGGTTGAAAACAAGGTCAGCTCATGAGCTCTGCCGCTAGCGCAAAGCCAGCGGCCGTGTGCCACATAGTGGCCCTGCCGTACCCTGGTCGAGGCCACATCAACCCGTAATGAACCTTTGCAAAGTACTAGTGTCAAAATCCGACAAAATTCTCATCACCTTTGAGGTGACCGAGGAGTGGCTTAGCTTCATAGGCACCGACGAGAAATGTGGTAATGTCCGGTTACGCAGTATACCGAACTTTGTGCCATCGGAGCAAGTCCGAGCTTCCGACATGGTTGGATTCTTGGAAGCTGTTTGGACAAAGATGGAGGCTCCGTTTGAGAAGCTCCTGAATGAACTTGAGCTTCCGCCTACTCTTATCATAGCCGACACGCATCTTTTTTGGGCGGTATCTGTTGGAAATCGGAGGAACATCCCTGTGGCCTCATTTTGGCCCCCATGTCAACGGCAATGTTCTCGGTATTTTACCATTTTCATCTTTTCCGGGAAAACGGCCACTTGCCGGTGGATTTGCTAGGTAAAATGCACCACCATTTGTTTCCCTGAATCTATACCTTTTTTCTTTTGTTTTACATTCGTTCTGGTTTTCAATCAACTGTTCTAATTACTACGGGCAACGAGAATGAGCAAGTTGACTACATTCCCGGGGTTTCCTCGACTCGTTTGTTGGACCTTCCTGATTTTAATGGAGGGATCTATCCGCTTATATTGAAGCAAATATTGGGGTGTGTTTCGTCTGTGCGTAAGGCAGATTATCTGTTGTTTCCTTCTATCTACGAGCTCGAATCTCGAACCATCGACGCGTTAAAGGCAGAGTTGTCCCTCTTCATCTACGCAGTTGGCCCTTGCATACCTTACTTGAACTTAATCCCTTGTGACAGAGCCTACTGCTTACAATGGCTTGACAGACAACCTTGTAACTCTGCCTTGTACGTGTCGATGGGTAGTTTTCTTTCGGTTTCGAGTGCTCAGATGGAGGAAATAACAGCCGGATTGCGAGGTAGCGGCGTTCGGTTTTTGTTGGTGGCTCGCGAGGGAATAAGTGACGGTTGCGGCGATAAGGGATTGGTGGTGCCTTGGTGTGACCAATTGAGGGTGTTATGCCATGGTTCCATTGGGGGGTTTTGGAGTCACTGCGGGTGGAATTCGGTTCGAGAGGGCGTATTTGCAGGCACTCCTTTTCTTACTTTTCCTCTGCTTGCCGATCAAAACCTCAACAGTAAGCTCATCGTGGAGGACTGGAAGATCGGGTGGCGGATGAAGCAACATGGTTCGGTGACGACAAGAGATCATATTTCCGATTTAGCTAAGACGTTGATGGATTCAGAGAGCGACGATGAAGTCCAACGAATGAGGCGAAGAGCCAGAGAGCTTCGAGAGAAATGTCTCAAAGCCACTGGGAGGCATGGATCATCTGAAACAAATATTAGCTCCTTCCTTGACAACATTTTACAATGTAATCCAATTGCATTCTAGTTTCTTGGCACATCCCCAGCAACTAAGATATTATCAGAACACTGAGGAGGTCAATATCATCCTTGAAATCTGTTAGTTATATCTTCTTCTTTTTCTTGTTTAAGTCAATGTCGCCAACCTTTTCCCGGATTCTCATCATAATGGGCACTCAACCCGAACCCAATCGGGTCGTATTTTTTTAAAAAAAATAAAGTTTGGATAGAGTTTTTTAAGTATTATATTCAAGTCAGGGTCGGGTTTTGGGTGAAAAATATCCGACTCGACCAGAAAAAAAATATAATTTTACCTTATATATTTAAGAATAATTACAATAATACCCCTCTATATATAATTTTTTTAATTAAGTCATTGTTTTTATTGAAAAAAATAATTTTTTTATTATTTCAGGCCGGTCGGGTTTCTAAGTCATATATTCGGGTCGGGTGAGGTCGGGTGAAACCTTGTTTTGGTCAGGTCTCGGGTGGAGGCTCTCTTATTCTCAGGTCGGGTCGGATAGACCAAAAACCCGACTCAACCCGACCCATGACCATCCCTAGTTATCATGCTTAATGTACCCTCAAAGCAAAGAACTTGAAATCCATCTCTGTAATGCGTATATGGATGCTTCATGGTTACTATAGTATATTTGGGTTACATATTCTTATACTTAAAAACATATATAATTATATTAATATCAATAGTAAAGAAGTGGAAGCAAACATGAGATTGAACCTGAAATATTAAGAGCTATTGGATAAATCTTTAGTCTCAGCATAAAAACCATCCCCTCTCTTTCGGTTAACGAAAACGCATTACTCGCACTTCTCTGTCTGCTTGTACGTAACATGCAAATCCGCCTCTAAAGAAAAACACCCAACACTACAATTCTTTTTCTAACTAATGCAAAACTTGACCTCCAAACCAGTCTGTCAGCAAAATATTGCAGTGCTCTTTCCTTATAGTTCATCCTGCGCATAGAAAGACGATGACCGATCAATATACATATTGTACAAAAAATACTCATAACAATATTTTATCAGCCAAATGGGCAAATAACATACATGTTCTACTGCATCTTCCTTGGCACTGTCTTTGCTGGAGTCCGACTTGGTATCGGAATCAGACTCACTTCCTTCAGCATCACCGGTATCATCATCCTCGTCCTCGGCCTGAGAGGTTAGTTAACACCATGAAAACCCGAACAATATGGCCGACAGTGAAATCATATGTATATTCTTAGAAGGCATGTTGAATGCTTACATCAGAATCAACAGGGTCATCCTTTGATTCCTGAACATCACGATTGATTAGTTAGAAAGAAAATTCAATAATTAACAAAGACAGCTTCTTAGCAAAAAGCAATACCTCTTCCTCTCTTTTTTTCTCTTCCTCCTCAAATGCTGCCTTCTCGGCCTGCAAAAGACAATAACCACATATGACGAATCAAATTATATATATATTCACTCAAAATACAGAGCTGCACATACATCCTTCTGCTTGCCCCATGTTTCTTCGGCTAGTTTCTTGGCGTACTCAACATCATCAGAGACTAAGATGTTATCAAACAGTGTTCCGGATTTCACCTGACAAAGCACAAACATTAGTTCTAAAATAGCATGCAATAATGACACCAGCGGAATAGAAAAAAAGGACAAAAGAATACCTGCCACAACTCAACGCCAACGTACTTCAAGCTGGGGAAAACATAGAGATCGGGGTCATCCTTGAAATCTATGGACAAAGGAAAACATGGTAGTAAGTAACCTAAAATATTGTTGTTAAGAATAAAAGGAAAAAGGCTTGAGAGGAAAGGAATAGCAATAAACCAGGGTTGTCAATCATTGGTGCCTTCCACTTTCCCTTGTAGTTAGGGTTCTTGATTTTCTGCAGATAGAGGAATCTTTTACACAATACTGATTCAAAAATAATATTAAAATGCTGCATTAGATCAGGATTTCACAAACCTTGGGCTTCCACTGGCCCTTGTATTCAGGATTAGGAATGGTTGGGGCTGTCCATTCACCATCTTCTTCTTCATCCCAATCTTCAGGCTGAAGCAAACGATTTTAACATTAATCTTCATCATAAAGGCATATAACTTCATAACAAAAGCATCCCAAAGAATTAAATGGCTACCTTCTTAGCATCAGGGTCTGTGATTTCTTTGGGAATGTCGTCATATCCCTATAGTAATCAAAACACCAGAGATTAGCTTCGCCTTTACACTTCCATGCAGTTTACAAAGTAGAGTAAGAGAATGGAAGAACGGGAAAGAAGGTATTACCTCGGACTTCTTATCTTCTGGATCAGGGATGTATTCTTTGTCATCCCAATCTTCAGGCTGTCCAGTATACAAAATACTTAGGTTGGACTAAAAGTTATATGAGAACAAAATAAACCAAAAAGACATCGATTGAGACTAGATTTGATAGATTACCTTCTTGGCCTCAGGATCCTTGATTTTCTTTGGTGGAAGAAGATCCCAATCAGTGTACAAGCTACCAGTTTGTTTCTCAACATTATCAATAAGGATGCTGTAGGTAGCATCTGGACGTAGAATGAATGTATAAACATGAGTGAGCTGGTCAGTCTCACAAGGAACTTCCTTTTTGATCAAGTGGTTTGTTCCGTTGTAGGTAAGAATAGCATGTACTTTCTTGGTGCTATAGCCGCATATATCAGGCCCAAACATGATGCTGCAACCATCCAAAATAACAAAAAATCAGTATATCAATAACAAGAAATCTTTTAGAGATACGAGTAGGTTCGATCACAAGGGATGCAGCAACCTGTATGGGGTTTCACCACCAAATTTCTTCTGGTCAATGTCACCGCTGATCAACTTCATGTAGCCACCACCACAATCAAGTTTCTGCTCATGCTTGACTGAAAATTGAAACACTAGAGTCTTATCCTTGTTGTTCACTTCTGGAAACTCGGCTGAAATAGCATAGAACCTGTAATCTTCACTAGTTTGAATGCCTGTACAAAATGAAAAGCGATTGGTAACTAACTTCAAACGAGTAAAAAGATAGCTTTAAGAGTAGATTTCCAGAAGGTTACCTTTGTCATTGGGATCTCCATTCCATTTTCCAGAAGTGTAATTCCACTCTCCCACCATGTTCTCATCTCTTTTCCAGTCAGAGTTTACCCAGCGGCTTTCCCATCCCTCTTTAATTTCACAAGCCGGGAATAAAGAGGAGCAAAATTAGCCAAAAATAAATGAAAACTGTAATATTTGAAAACAGTGAAATGTTTAAAGGTAAAATTAAAACAAAAGTAGGCATCTTTCTCATCAGTTAAATTTTTCAAAAATGCATAGAGAATCAAAGGAATATAACTAGGCATCGTATAGTTTCTGCTAGACTCCTTAATTTAAAAATTATTTGTCTAGTAATTAACAAGCACTCTCTCAATTATCAATCTACAATACATCATAAAATAAAAGCCAAATACTAATATATTTCCATTTGTTATTACATTCTAATTTCCTCTAAAGTTAAAATCAATCGGAACGCTAGAGACTCTAGCATTCACATCCATTTGTTATCAAAACCACATTTCTCAAACTAACTACATCTACAAACAAATGTAAAATCAAATACGCAGATACAATCGAACAAATTGAATTTTCAAACCTAATTAAGCATTTGAGTAATGAACGAATCAAAAACAACCGGACCACCTAATTAAGACATAAATATCACTGATCCGTTCAAACTAGACCAAAATGAAAAGTCATAAATCTCTACAAAACAGATTCAAACGACGAAAGCAAGCCGATCTAAAAGGTTCACATACAACGGACAGATTTAGTAAGAGAAAGCGAGGAAACGACGAGTCAGAAATGATTTACCATCAAAGCGTTCTTCGAAGAAAACTTTGGCAGAGGCGATGGCGACGAGAGATACAAAGATTGCAGAAATCAAAAGAGGGTTTCGTTCGTGAATCGCCATATTGAACCTGCAGAGTGGGCGAGGAAGAGTGACGGGTTTCCCTTTATATAGTAGTCGTTGAACTCACTGGTTCGGTACGGACAACGGTTCAGTGAAAAAAATGACGTGGATTGTAGGAGCCAATGGATAAACCACACGGCATTTGTAGATTGACGTGGCCTAAAACTATTGGATGGGATTTTGACTTGACACGTAGGAGGAGTTTTAAGGGGTTTACATTCCAGAGTTCAGGTCACTGGGACTGTGTTAAACGTGGCAATTATTTAGTGGTTGATGTCAGAGGGGTCCACCTTGGGGTTTCATTTTACCCAAATATCATCTAAAAAGAATTAATACCGAAGATAATATTTGAAATGCACCATTAATATTTAATAATAATATTAAAACGCACCACTAATATAAAAAAAACGTAAAATTCATAAATAGTCATTAAAAAACAACTTGATTTTATTTATCATTAAATTTTTAAAAACTACAAAATAGACATTAAATTTTGAACTTTATTAAAAAAAGTAAACAACAATCGTTAAATATTATTAAGGGGTAATATAACATACTCAATTAATGAAAAATATCTTATTTAACCCCTCAATTAAAACTAAAATTTCATTTTTAATATTTTTCAACATTTTAAGTAATAATTCTAAAAAATTAGAATTTTTAGAATTTTTTAAAATATGAAAAAAATTATTTTTAAAATTAAAAAATATTTTCAAAAAAATTCATTTATCAAACAATTAAATACATTTTTTATTAAGAAAAAATATTTTATAATTAATTATTTATTTAATTGTTGTTGTATTTGTAAAATAAAAGATTTATAGTTTTTTACGTGCGAAAATTTATATTATCAATTAATAAAATTATTTTTATTAACGATGTGATTTAAGCATTTAACTTTATTTAAAAATTTAAATATAATTTAAAAAATCATACATCCATAATATTATAACATCATATCAAATAATTTTTAATTTATATGGTACAAATTTAATATTTATAATTAAAAGATGATATTTATTTTATCTATATCTATTTTATTTTCAATTCAACGAACAGAATAAAAATTATTTCAATTTAAATTAAGAGTAAAACTAAATTTTAGTTATAATTGAAGGGTCAAATGAGATAATTCTTAATGATTTATGCCCAATTTGTAACAAAATTAAAATTTAATATTCATTATGTAACTTTTAAAAGTTAAATACTCAAAATGATAATTTTGATATAGTTTCATGACTATTTATAAATTTTACCATATAAAATCAGTGGTTAATTACAATGAATTGCATGCATTCTAGAATTTTCCTTGATTTAGATTACTTTTTGGATTAATATTCTTTTTTTTATTACTTTTTGGATTAATATTCTTTTTAAAAAAGTAACATATAAAAATTATGCGATTTTTTTTAAGAAAATAATAAATGTATGATGCATGTCAAAGAATCAGATTTACACGAACACGAATCAGACGATGACGGTTATGCAAGTGTATTGGTCTTATTTTTCGTCACATTTCATAATTGCATGTTTAAAATACTACATTTAAATAAAAGTATTTACACGAGCACAAAATGACCATTCAGCTCAGTTGGTATAGCATAAGGTTCTTAATTTTGAGGTCGTGGGATCGAGTCTCATGAAAGACATTTCATAATTTGGAGGTCTCCTACGGAAGCTGTTCTCAACCTAGTGTTGGGGGCAGCCTACTATCTTACCTCCCCTTTACCCCACATTACATATGGGAACAAGTGACAACCATTATTTACACGAGCACAAAACAGACAATGACAACTATACGTGCATTAACTTTATACGTAGTCACATTTCTATAAGTGTACGTTTAAAAAGTTATATTTAAATATTCGAAAGCCCTTATATTTAGACTCTAAACTATTCTGTTTTTACGAAATTAGAAAAGCTTATGAATTTTCAAATTTTGCATTGTTGAAAAAGGAGGATTTTAAAATAGTTTAATTATAAATATGATTATATTGGTATAATTATGTTTTAATTATAGTCTATCATTATAGAGAAATCATAGAAATAAATCCACCAAGTAAGATAATTTTGGTAGGCCATGGACTCGAGATCCAAGAATCTACAAAGCGGGCTAAAGCCGGCACATTTTTCCTTTTTAAATTTATAATTTTATACAGGATGTATCTCGTACAGTATCTTAATATACGGCTAATGAAAGGCGTTATTGAAAATATTAATTTTTTTTAATATTTTTGGTAAAAAACTACCTAAAATATTTTTTTAACGAAAATGCTAATATTGAGCGCTACATAAAATGTTATTTTTTTCTATAGTTTTTTATCGGAAATTAGGTAGTAAAATTAACATTTTCGGTAGAAAAAAATAATGTTTTAGGTAGAGCTTTACTAGAAATATTAAAAAAATATTAATATTTCCAGTAATACTTTCGTTAGCCGTATATTAAGTTGTCTTATGGCAAAAATATTAAGTTGTCTTAAGCCGCTATATATCAAACCTTTTGCGGCGTTTGTTAAAAACGCCGCTATAAATATAGAGTTTTTGAGACGTTTGTATCAAAAACCGCTACTATATATCTCAACTTTTTGCGGTGTTTTTAAAAACGCCGCTATAGATATAGACCTTTTGCGACGTTTGTATCCAAAAAAAGTCGTTATATATCTTAACCTTTTGCGGCGTTTGTCGACCTTTTACGACGTTAATTCTAAAAACGCCGCTATATATCTTCACCTATTGCGGCGTTTTTTTATTATCAAACGCCGCAAACTTTAGCGGCGCTAGTTTGCCCGGTACTTCTTGCGACCTTTTTCATATCGCCGCTATAGGTAAAAAAACAAGTCCGCTAAACTATTTTTTCTTTAGTGCACTCAAAACTCAATGCATAACATGACATGGATAAATTATTATCATTATGAGTAAATTGTATTAATGGTTCAACTTTCTTTTCATTTCTATTTTGATCATTTCACTTTTAAAAAAAATAATTTTATCATAAGAGGATTTAGTAATAAACTTTCTTGCGACCTTTTCATACGCGCTATAGGTAAAAAAACAAGTCCGCTAAACTATTTTTTCTTTAGTGCACTCAAAACTCAATGCATAACATGACATGGATAATTATTATCATTATGAGTAAATTGTATTAATGGTTCAACTTTCTTTTCATTTCTATTTTGATCATTTCACTTTTAAAAAAAATAATTTTATCATAAGAGGATTTAGTAATAAACTAGTTACAAGTTCCAAAAGTTCATTTTAGATAATATTTTTTCTGATGAAAATAGTATTTAAATTAAATTGTAAATAAAATTACTTATAAAATAGATTAATTATGATATTATGATTCAACTTAAATACTAAAATTTGATATATATTTATAAAAAAAAGTGATGAGTAAACTTCTGTTCCTTTTGAATTAAAGTTACATTACCATTATGTTTTAACAATATATTGAATTTCGTCATTTTACTTCTATTTGATCCAGGGGCGGACCCAGGGGGTTGCCAGGGGTAACACGGGCAACCCCTCGGCAACCTCTCAAATTGTGAGGAACATTGATCAAATGTTATTATTTTAATATTTATATATATATATTTTGTGATTTTTAGGTAGAATCCCTATATTTCAGTTAAATTTTTATAAAAAAAAATTTATACAACAAAATTGTCTACTTAGTGTTAATTTTTTCTAATTTTTTTAATTAATACAAGTGTCACCTTTAATATTGTGCAACCCCTAAAAAAATTTATAAAAATTTTTTTTGCAACCCCTGAATTTTTGTCCTGGGTCCGCCCCTGATTTGATCGACTTTTATCATTAAAAATGAACTTTTAATTTAAATTTTTACTGTTTCATTTGAACTTAGAAAAATAATTTAATTAAAAATTTCGTATAAATAGTTTTTAATATTTCATTTTAATAATTAACAAGAATAAATTAATATAAAATATCTATTTTATAAAAGCTTTTTTCTCTTTTCATATATCTTTTATTAATATTGCTTTCAAAAAGAAAAAAAAGGCTATACGTCTTCATTTGATAACCAACACTTAATCATCTTCATAGTTGTTTGTGTCTAAACTCATGACTTCTAGAAACTACAACGATTACTTAAACCACTGAAATAATATATTATTAAAATACATTGTTTCCGTAGTAAATGCACATAGTTTTGTTAAAAATGCATCAATTTATTTCTTCTTTATTAGATAATTTCTAATAGCCATTTAAATATTTTTTATTGAAATAATATTAATAATATGTATATAGAATTATCTATAAAAAATAAATATTTATAATATTATATCTAGAATTATCTAAAAAATGTAAATATTTATAAAATTAATGATTAAGATATTAACACGTGTCAATATTTTAGTGATTGTTAAAATCTATAAATAAGATAAAAACTTCTCCGGTAGTACATGCATAAAAAATTATATAAGAGTGAGTTACTCACCATAGTATAAGAATGAAGAATAATAATTCATCATAGAATCAAACTCTTTATATCAATATAAATTTTTAAAAAATAAAAACTCTACACAAATTTATTTAATTATTTGACATAAATATACTCACATGTTTTTCCTTTACACGAATTAATACTCATAATAAATGATATATTTAGTTTTTGGTTTTATTATTTTATTAGTTGCTTTTCCTCGTTGGTCTTGGTGTTTTCGCTCTTGTTGTCCGGTTGAATGTACTCTTTTTCTTCATATAGGCTTAGAGAGGTTTTCAACGAGACATTCTTTCTAGTTAACTATTAATAAATTGAATATAATTCATTCACTTCATCCAAATAGGAGTTATTTAGTTTCTTCTAGAAAACAAAAATTGTTCTTATCTATTAGATAATAAATAATAAAGTGATAAATTAGATTTATCTCTTAAATAAATATAAACTATATTTATTCTTTAAATAAATGAAATGTTGAAATAAATATTAATTTAATAAAAGTATTACCTTATCAACTTAAATTTTAAAAAATTGTTCAATACATTGAATACAATCATTGTTACTAATTTATCTGAGTGTTTCTAATTTGTTTA